GCCATAAAATGCTGGGGTTGGTTCTGCAACTTCCTGCAAAGGATATGCAACTAACTTTAATTCACATTTTATTTTTTGATGTCCACTTAACATCTAAGTTTTAGGTGTATAATTAACATACAAGTTTTTACTTGTGTTATCTCAGTCAAAATCACTCCACATCGGGCATTCCCATGTGTACTCAGTCCTCAGATGCAGCAGTAGTCGTAAGGTCTGATGTCTGATTTTTTGTTTGTATCGGAGTCCTGAGTTTTGACTGTCTAATCGACACTGAGTTTTTAATTGTGTTTAATAGACAATTAATTTTGACGTGTCACTGACACCTGAGTTTTGATTGTGATTCAGACTGCCTTTTAATTATTGAATATTTTTTTAAAATTTTAATTTGTGTCTAATTGATACTCTGGTTTTGACATGTCATATTGACATATATGTTTTTATATGTGTCTGGCAGAAGCACAAACATGACATCCAGTTTTTTAAAATATAGGAAGCAACTTTATGGTGTTTTAAACGTGGAAAACAATGTAAGTCGAATTTCAGTTAAGTCGACATGACCAACTTAGTCCCGGCAATTTTCTCTGTTGTGTGTACTGTGTGGATAAGTAGAAATCCTGATAAGTGGAAGCATTTTCTTAGGTCCCTGCGACTTCTGTTTATCCAGACTCGACTGTATCATAGATAATTGTAACAAACAGGCTTTTGCTATGGTTATAATTTTGTTATGCCATTATGGATACCGTGACATTAGCAAAACATGTGTTTGACTTTGTCGGCTCTGTGGCTAAGTCGATGCAAACGCTTCGTAATGCCGGGTTCGATTCCAGCTGCAGGTCATGCGTCTTGCGTTGGTTCTGACATTGGTATCAAGAAAGCCGACCGCCCAGAAAGCAATAGCAAACTACTGGACGTAAATTTGCCTAGAAAAACCACACAACAGCCAGGGGCTGTTGGGGTTGGTTCTGCAACGCCCTGTAAAGGATACGCAACTAACCTAAGTTTGACTTTGTTCATTGTGGTGGTATAGGTTCTCAAATACATTGCCTAGTGTCTTTGTACTTGTAAACTGTGATTTTCAAAAATGTATTTATTGTATGCTGTATAAACAGCACCATGTTCTGGGGAGAAAAAAAATAAATATGAATAAAATGTGATAGTAAAAGTCACAGATCAATGAGAGGTCTCTTTTCTGTTCTTGTGCAATTTGTTGTTGTAAAGTTATAAAGAAAATATAAAAATCTCTAGCACAGAAAGACCTACAAACATGCATTGGTGCTTATGTTTTTCACTATTTGGACAGTAGGATTGTTAGAGCTGATGTTCCAAGCCTCAAAATATATGGCAGGGACAAAAGAAAAAGCAGACTGCGGTACCTGGGAATCACCTTTGACAGAAGCTTGTCTTCAAGGATCACATAGAGGAGTTTGTGACAAAGGCTCAAAGAGGTCTTAATGCACTAAAGATTATGGCAGCAATGGACATGGAACAGAGAATGCTGTTCACACTTCACCAGCACATAATCATCTCACTGACTGATTATGGACTGGGGTTACTCACTGTCTTGAAGACTCCGCTAGAGAAACTTGAGCGCACACAGAATGAAGCTATGCGAGTGATCCTGGGATGAACAAGAGACACCCTGATTGTGTGCATGCGATACATCCTTGCATTGTCGACTATTGCAGATAAGTAAAGGTGCTGCAGGCTAAGTCATACCTCAGAGTAGCTGCAGACAAAGAGCACCCTTTGCATGAAGCTTTGGCTGCAGTTAAGGGTCAGAGGCTGAAAAGGGAGAACTCATGGATGGCTCAAGCAGAAGACACAATAAGACAGGTATGCAGGCTGAAGAACATTAAGCGAAGAGAGGAGTGGGTCAGAGTACCAGAGGAAAAGTCTGACCTGTATAGGGTCAATATCACATTGGGCCGCGAGTGTAGAGAGTGGCCAGCGGGTGCTACAGAGGCGAAAGTCCAACAATTGATTCACGACTATTCCCAGATGATCTAATTATCAGTACAGATGGCTCTGTGTTGAGAGGGACGAGAAATGCCTGGGGGGTTAGTAGCGAAAGCCAGTGGAAAATCTTTAGTGCAGGACAGCCTAGCATATGACACTACATCTAGCATGAGAATGGAGTTGGAGGCAGTCACTGCAGCTTTCCAGTGGCTAGACAACAGGATGCTCACACATTTCGTAATTATAACAGACTCTGAAAGCATACTGAGAGAGGTGAAGATAGGGTTGCTACGAGAAGAGTGGCATGCTTCACTGGGACGGTCACGGGTAGTGAGCATACTTTGGATCTTTTCTCTAGGCTACGCCAGGGTAATGAACAGACAGATTGCCTGGATCTGCACTACTGGGTGGTGAACTGATACATGATAAGGCAGATGTGGTCATGGCCCTTTGGTCGCAAGTCAGAAGAGAAACAAGATTATTATGGCCTTGACACCTGTATGTGACCAGAAGGTCTGGCCGACTCGCTACACTCTGAGAAAGGGCAAAACGGACATATAACCAGATTACGACCGGTACCATTAGTATTGGAACTCTGCGCTGGCCGCTGAAGGTGGGGATGGAGCACATATGGGAATGCTACGAGTGCCGTGATGTCAATTCTTGACTCAACTCTTATGTGTTTCACTTGTTCACTGTGCTGTCTCTTCTTTTAGGGGACTAAGTCAAGGGACTCCATGTGCTTTGAACCTTAAAGGTCAAGGATTTAACTTTGGATTTCATCCACCAGTTCATTTGCAGGGTGTTATTTTAAAAAAGAAAATATAAAAGTGCCACCTTCATAATGAAGGTTGGCTGCAACTCACATTTCACCTTTTTAAGGTCACAAGAGCAGTCTGTCCACTGCTGAAAAAATGATGCTCCTGTCGAATGCATATACCTTCCTACAATGCACCCCCCCCCCCCCTCCCAATACTTCAACTTTTGTAAATTACATTACTGCAGTGATGAATATGTCTCACCCATTTGCTTACTGTAACCCTCTGAGGATCTCTTGGATTATCCCCCCCCCCTTTTTTTTTGAGGATGGAACAGAGATCCCTCAAGCATTTTTCCACATGCATTGTCATCATCATCGTCTTGCCGACTTGCTTAGGCAATCATGTTTCTACACAATCTATAATCTCAAAAAGCATTAGCTCAGTTGTGGACTCGCCTCACTGCCAAGACAAAAGGCTGTCAAGAATCTTCTCATCTTGGTTGCTTCATTTGATCTCTCTATCTCCAAAAATCTGGCCAGTTATCACACATTCCTGTTAACCTCTTCTCACAATATGGCCCCCTAAAAAATGATGTATGTCCCTTTCTAATGTTTGTTATATGTTGTCTTAAACAAACCTGCACAAAGTAATAATACAACACAATGGTTTTTATAAAGTAGTACTTTACTCTCAGCATAATAATATTATACACATATACAGTTTGCAAAAAGTAGTGTACATTAATCATCCACACACAAGTCAATTGGCCCCATTTCATTTCTTGACAAGAGAAGTCTTCCATATACAAGTCAATTTCCCTTCAGTCACAGACAATAGAGGCCTTTCATATATGAGGTGTGATCAAAGAAACATGTTCCAAGGGCTTCAATTTTGAGGTGCTGTCGCTCCATGAAGCAGGATGTATGTCCAAATGGCCAGGGTGTTGACATTTGATGACCCTAAATGCAGACTTGCTTCCTAACAGCAGCGTTTTTCAACTAAAATACCTGCTGATTATACCTTTCAAATATTCTAGTACAAACATTGTGGAATGGTCAGTTTACAACGTAGGGCTCTGATGCGAGAGACCAGGGCTCGACTCCTGGTAAGGTGATGGAGTTTTTTCTGTTTGAGCAAAAATAAACACCCTGAACTGCACAGTCCATGGCAATAGCACTAGCCATGCAGCCCTTAATCCCCGTGACCTCCTGTCTACACTGCCCTAAAAAGTGGTAAATACAGACAGCAGCGGTGACAGTAAAGCCATTGGGATGAGCTTAGTCTGGCCCACACATCACACTACTACATACTGAAAAGGGAGGGAAGGGGGGTCCTATTCTCCCCCCTCCCCCACTCTACTTTACACCTACCCATTACTCATTAAACCTTTCTGCACCAAGCAACTCATTACACTTTTCTTGGTCATACCAAAGATAATAAATATAATTTTCTATCACAGACATGTTACATTAACCCTCCGTATCTGAGCTATTACCGTAACGACTTCTGTCCCTTAACGCCACTGCTCAATTCTGTTAGGCATAGGTATGTAATGCTTTCAATATGAAGTCCTTAAGAATTTTTCTTTTCTTCCACCTTGTACCTCAGTGAAGTGTCGGGGGGAGATGTAACATTCGTTGATAAGCTCTGCCAAGAGCACTATTAAGAGATATTCATTTCTGTAAGGCTGTTTTTAATGCCATCACTCCATATATTTTGTAGGTGTTCCACTCGCTCTACACCCATTGTAACATTTTAGTGTGGCTCGCTGTGGTAGATAATACCAGGGCATTCCTTTTAGGTGTCCAAACCATTTCAATTGTTGTTTTTGATGAATGTCCTTAAGAATGAGGGGATTAAAGTAATGATTGACTGGTACTGAAAGAGGTTCTCCTTATAGTCCTTGCCATGTGGTGTCGGCTGTCATGTCTGTTGACAGTCCTGTGACTCAGTGTACTGCCAGTCATTTCTTATACAGATATTCTTCCATGCCATGATGCCAAACCATCTAACATCTTCCTTAACCTAAGACTGGATAATTAATGTGGCTTCCCTTTACCTTCCACATCCACATAAGATATTCACACCTTATAAATATTGTACTGTGACTGGGTTACTTCTTCTTTAGCATTCCGAGCCATTGAGGTTCATTTCCATAGACATCACCTGCCTCCATCATCTCTGTGACTGGCTTTCTCTTTCCAGTTGGTGACTTCAAGTGTTTGCAGGTCTGCCTATTATCTCTTCACAATCTTTTTGCTCTGTCTCATGGGCTACCAGTAGTCAAAATCTTCCAAGGTACTCTGCTTTTGGGTATTTTTGAACCAATTCTGGCCACTGCACACAAAAACTGTCGGAAAAGTGATACAACAGCTTGCCAGATAGGGACAGGGAGGTCACTCGGCAGAAGCTTTCTACATAGACAATGCAGGTCCTCTGGATCCATAGCCACTGTAAGGAAGAAAAAACAAAATACTATGAAGAGACAAGCTTTCTTTTCATTTAATATATTTGAAGACCCTTCTTTTTCGGCTCTCAGCCTTAGAGGTTTATTGCAGAAAATAACCAACTATATTCCTCTATTCATCTTTCACCCTTAGAGGTTTATTGCAGATAATACCCAACTCCATTTGGCTCTCAGCCTTAGAGGTTTATTGCAGATAATACCCAACTCCATTTGGCTCTCAGCCATTGAGGTTTATTGCAGATAATACCCAACTCCATTTGGCTCTCAGCCATTGAGGTTTATTGCAGATAATACCCAACAGCCTTCTCTTTCCAGTTTGTGACTAAGTGTTTGTAGGGTTGCCTGTAAATTATCTCTTCACTGCCTTCTTGGTCCGCTCTCATTCAACTTTTGTGTACACAATTTTGTTTCTCTATTATCTGTTATTCTCTCTGCATGCCTCAATGATTACAAGTTATTAGACCACATTATTGTTCAAAGACAGACACAGTTATACAATTATATCATTAATTAGAGTGAATGAGAGAAACATTCTTTATACAGGGGTATCTCAGAATCAGAACACTTCATAATTTTCAACAACTTGGGATTCAATGAAAATTTTCAAGTAAATGTTGCCTCGGAACTTGATCACCGCTTTGGAAACTGAACACTTGGCATCTGCCAGCCATGATACCAGACAGCACCTCTTATGTTCCAGTTTTCATAAGCTGTGTCAAACGTGTCACGCCTTTGCTCATCACCTCATGTGATTTTCGCAGCAAATTTGACAAATTTGTGCTTATTCTTTAAAAAAAATAGTTTTTATAAAACACTTAGTGAATTATTCATGGTTGGTAAAAATGTGAGTGTTGAAACAATTTTCATATAACCCTTGACCCATTAGGGTCGTGGATGTGTATCGATGGAAGCACTAGCACCTGCCATCTTTCTCTGTCTTCCGCTTGGTAAATAAATGTATGATAACTTAGTCCTGAACTTGGTCCTGTCCATTTCTTGATGTTGTCATTCTAGGTTCCTCTTTGCCCTCCTCTTCGAACAAAGAGAAAAGCTGTTAGAGCAATAACTGCCATTAAAGAAGATCTTTTTGCTAAGCATGCAACAACCAAATTTTGATCATAACTATATGGTGGCTGGAGTGAATGAGAGAAAACTTTATGTTAAGCAACCATACATGTTTTGTTAGAAGCAGAGACCACTGGCTTGACATCGACCTGGCTGCCATGAGATAAATGATATTGTGTATTTGAGTAGTATTGTCTAATCTATGTATGTGCTGAAAAAGGCTCCATAGCCGCAGAGGTTCATGTTTTGTTTGTGTCTGTTAAATTGTGAAGCTCGCTGATATACTTTTCATTCAGTTTTATACCTTTCCCTGAGGTTTTGTTAGAAAAACTGCAAGATTCTATAACCAAAAAAAAAAAAAAATTATAATAATGGTTTCCTAGAACCCATACAGTGAATTCAATTAGTTTAAATCTCTTTCAGATATCTCCGATAGGGTCAAGCCCCCATAAAGAGCCCAGGTGAACTTGAGATCAATGGATCTGTCTTGAGAGCTAAAGGCTTCACATGATAATGATTGTACTTCTGTGCCACGATAGGTCACAAAGGGCTCGCAGTCTCTTCTTCCATTCCATTCTATCCTGTGCAATCAGTTCCACATGATAAATGGAATCCAGTCCAGTACCTTTGGCCTGTCTCATCAAAGTTCATTTTAGAGTTTCTTTTGAGCATCCCTGCCTAATTTATCTCTTCATTTCCCATTTTAGAGCCTGTTTGGGTTCTGCTCGTTTCTTCCCGGGATGTATCCAACATAGCGCCATCTTCTCTGTCACATAAATGTTGACAATAGTGGTTGCAAAGACATTTCTGTTATTTCTTCACTCCCTTTTCAGTTCATGTCATTTTAAAAAGGCTTCACAACTGGAGAAGTAACAGTTTTTTTTTAAAGAGCTAACAAAAGAGAGAGAAAAAAATCACATTTTCTCTAAAAAAAAAATTATATATATATATACATATCCTTTACAGGATGATTCAAAACAAATAGACCCACTTCTGAATCACTGGTTTTCAAAACCATTGTCAAAATCAGCATAAGGTGGTCTGCTGCCAAATTACCCACAGCTGGAGAAAAAAAAACGAGTATCTAGTAATTACAAATCCTGTTCGCAATCCCTAAGCCATGGATATCATGAAGAAAAGAGCACTTGAGGAGTACAAAGTTAACAAGTATTCAGAATAAAAGCTTGAGTATTTATCCAGAACTTACCTTCATGAGCAAGCCTGCAAAGCAAATGGGTATGCAGGTTCCTGGACCATTGCATAGGATCTGGAACAAAGATTTTGGATAATGATGTTTAACAGAATAACCAGATGTTCTGGTTTTATAGTGGTTTAAGATGCATTAACCAACTGTTGTGAAAAAAACAAAGAAATTTGTTCAGGGCACAAAAATGTATGTTTTTAAACATACATAACTTGCTCATAATAAGAGTAGTTGAGCGGAGATGTGGTTTTAAAGACGAATGATGGAAATAACCTAGACAGATAAAAAGAGTAATGAAGACGCCTTGAAAGAAACTGACTCAGGAAAAGAGCTGATTGTCCACATCAGACAGAGACAATCTACATTCTTTGGTCATGTGATGAGAAGGAAAAAACTGGAGTACATCTGACAGTAGAAAAGTTGGACCGGAGGAGGGGCAGAGGGAGACTGAGAGAACAGATGCTGGATGGTTTGACATCATGGCATGGAAGATCATCTGTGTCAGAGTTGACTGAAAGTACATGAGACAGGAGATTGTGGATAGAACATGACTACCAACGCCATATAGCATGGACTTTAAGAAGACGAAGAGTTGTTCTGGGAAGCAGAAAAACAAATGATTGAAGCAGCATTTTGATGCAAGAATACATCAAATAAAATATTTATCATATTTCTTTTCAACAGACATCTCAACAGTTGCCATTTCCTTTCTTTCACATCGTGACTTCTGACAATTTAAACAACCAAAAATAATATTTAATATCAACTACTAATTTTGGGAGTAATTTTGTAATTCAGTGGTTAAGTGTATTTACCACTTTTTAGGACGGGAGTGCTCTGGATTTGGGTTTGAAGCAGCCATAAACTTTTTTTGGGGGGCCCCAGCAGAAACATTGCCATTGCTCCAAGGATCATACCCAGGTCTCCTGCATGAAAGCCAAGCACTCTATCCACCTGACCCTTATCCATCATGGTGCCTTTCTTCATCTTTTTCACGTTCACCGACTATAAACTCCAGCAAAAAGTTCTGAATGTTCGTCCATCTCCGAACCATAGTCTTGTTCCAGAACCTAAGTGTTGCACACCTGTTTCACACAAAAGGCTTACTTGTATGCAGACTCTTGGTTCCTTGCTTCTCGGGCAGATATACTCTGACTCTGAAGGATGCCCTCAATTAATTCCCTACCATGCCATGTTTAATAGGGAGGCAGTGGGTCTATTCTTGCTTTCCCACACAATGGGATCCCAGAACCCACATGGCAAACGGTGCCATTCAGTTACTGAATAAATGAACCTAATGTCACCTGTCCAATACGCCTGTTTGAAATTCACATTATCTGGACATTATTAAATGTCAATATATCTTCCAACATCAGAAATAAATATACAGTACTTACAACTTCTGGTCTCAGCTTGAAAACTAAGGGCACAGAGAAAGCAAGAGCTCGTAAGGTGGTCAAGACACTAGTCCAGTAGGACTGCTTCACTTCCCGACTCCTTGGTATGATAAATAACTTGTACTGTAAAGATAAATGACAAATTGTTTGTATTGTACTGTGAAAAATAAAAGAGAAATAGCTTGTACTGTTTTCGGTCCTTTCCTTTTTTTTGTTCACCCCTTCTCAAGAATTGCCAGATTTTGTGGGGAGTTCCCGGGAGAGTCCAAAAGTGTATGGGTGTGAAATAAACTGACTAGCTGTAACCCTAACCCTAATATACTATTTGACTTTCCCAGGAACTCCCCATGAAATCTCGGAGTCCCAGAGATGGGATGAACAATAAGAAAAGTACTGTGTTTTCCCCCTCCAATCACCATCATCGTGTTGGTTTGTTGTACGTCACATACGGCTCACACTCTAGTCATCCATTCTGTTCTATTCTGTACAATCCTCTTGATATAACGTATACGCAGGGCAGGATTTAGAACTGATGAGGCCCTTAGCTATATGAAGCCCTGCTGCCCTACCATTTTAAATGAAGAAGAAGAAGAATAACTTTCTGCCTACTAGTAACTGTAGAAACAATAGGTTATCTGGCTTGGTTATGTAATTTATCATGACTGCTCATTGTCAGTACTGCAATAAATGAAAAGACAAAACAAAAATCTGCACAGAAATCGCTTCAGAATTTAGTCAGTGTACAGCAGAGATTTTTAACTAAGTTTACTCAGGAATCAAAAATTTTCAAAATGGGGGTCATCGTGGGCCATTTGCTCAAGCCGAATCCTATAAAGATCATTTATACGAATGGCAATGACCAGGGGGCCACTTGTTAGGCCTCTGTGGGCCATACCTGGCCTATGGGCCGCCAGCCGATTAGCCAAGGTGTACAAGCTGACTAGCACTGGTGTATCAATCACAAGGCAAAATAAATATAAGGAGATCTCAAAGCACATCATGAAGAGAGAGAGAGAGAGAGAAAAGAATAACATGGGAAAGTAGTGGAAGGAAATATTTCACATAGCAACAGACACAAAAGCCTGGTGTGAAGAGGCTGGGTGTCTATGCTTCTTGCAGGTTTAAACTGATGAAGAAGATGAAAAAAATTTATTAAAAATCCTTTCCTCATACATGGGATCTTTTTCTTTCTTCTTAGCATTAACCGGCTGGTTGGTTGTCCATTTCTGCACTTTGGTCTTGTTCCAGAACTTAAATGCTGTGCGCACATCCATTTTTGATCTGGCATATTTGCATGCAGACTGTTGGTTCTTTGCCTCTCAGGCAGATGTACTCTGACTCTGAAAGAAACACTCCTAATTAGTCACTTTGTACGACATGCTTGTTAGGGGGGCAGTGGGTCTATCTCCCCCCCCCCCCCCCTTCCCGGAATGGGGCTCCGGAACCAACAAGAAAAATACCCGGGATAAGATCCATGTTCTCTAATGTCTAAATTTAGCTCTCCTCCAACCTGGCCACCTCTTATGTGCATGAAATTTTAGCCAAAAAAAAAAAAATATTTTTAGCAACTTTCCAACAAAAATCAACAAACTGGAACGTCATTAGCAAGCCAGGCTGATTGACGACACTCACCTAATCCCCAGCAGTATTGCTGCTTCAAACCACTAACAAAGAAATTTGATCTTTAGAACAGCCGTCTCCAACCTTTTTCAGGTTGCACCCCCTTGAGTATATTACAAGACCTCCCACACCCGCCCCCCAACATAACAAAATGTGATTAAAAGGAGGTCAACAGATTGGGCAACATGAAAGCATGTAGATATGTTCTGGGTGGAATGTGTAATCTCCTCATGAAATTATTCTACTTATAATTAAACTGAGTTGCTGTGGCCGAGTGGCTAGACGCTCATCGTGGGTTCGCTCCCTGACGGAGCCGGACTTTTTTCAAAAATGACCTTGGCTCCCAGGTCGACCCAGCCTTGAGTGGGTACCGGGTGCAGTCCCGGGAAAGTAAAGGTGGCCGGCGTGATACTGACCACATCACCCAACTTGTGCCGATTGGCCTATAAAAAAATATAGGTCTAGCCCTATATGCCCTATACGCCTTAAGGCGTGGAAAAGGGTCCTTTACTTTTTTTTATAATTAAACTAAAACAAAATGTAGTATAATGAATTATTACAAGTGCAAATGCACACACTTTCAAAACTGCTTGACACTCCCCCAATCTCCTTTTGCTCCCTAGGGCGTGCAACCCCAGGTTAGCAACCACTGTTTTGGAGGGTATAGCTATGGATAAATCTGCCGTAGTATGTGTAATTTGACATCCAGACACACCTGGCTCCACATACTTAGATGCAATATCCAACACAGGGCTTTACATTAATAATCAATAATGGTATGAATTAATATATATCTAGTGGTCTGGTGATGTAGTATTTTATTTCCTCAGCAGCAGGAGGGATTACCAACTGAATAGGTGGGATCTGTAGCCAGTACTTTTCTATGCTTGTGTTTCTGAACTCTTTCAGTATCAAACAGATGTTTCTTTAACCTGGTAATTTTAACAACAACAAAAAACTTCTTTAAAAACGTGTGCCATCTCCACACCAGAGGTTGGCTAAAGTAAATCTACAGTGTATCATATTTCTCCTCTTACACCAACACCCCCCCCCTCCCTTTTCCCCAATTGCATAATTCTTGAACATATCCCGCCCCCTACCATTAGTATTTCTTGGCATATTTTCTGGTATGCAACAGTAAAGTAAATAATCTTTAATGTCGCAGTGTTATCCTATACCTACATTTTATAGAATGAATTAATATTGTTTATAGTCTGCATCTTTGACATTCATAGCACTGTTTTTTTTCTTTTTTTTCTTCTCCTTCATTAGTTTGAGTGATGTTAATCTACATTGTGCCCGATTACATCACAGCTTCGATATCTGTATCTTTCGGCCAATATATCTGGCTTAATCGAGCATTTGTTCACCGGGATAGCCTTCCCATTTGATTTCATCAGATGTGATGTAGCTTTATTTGTGCAGAGTCCTCTATATCCCTTCATCTCTAGGTGTTAATTCAAGAAAATATGCCCAGCGCAGAGAGGTCAACCCTCAAGATAAGGCAGGGGCAGAAATAGGCATTCCCCACCAACCAAAAGAGGACTTCCTAAATGCAGAGCTGACACATGACGCTCTGGTCCTGGGCTTACCCAAAGAATTGTCACATGCTGCACATGACTTCTTAACCTCACATCCGTATGTTAAGCTTCCCAGTCATCACAGACTGCACCTTTAGGGATCAATAGTAAGCAGCTCGCAGATAGAAGACTTCGATGACCACACGGATGGTCAAAATCTTCCTCAACACTCTAGACAGTTTTAATTTAGTTCATTGTACTAACCAAATTTGTAGTTACAAATAAGTGAACCAGAAAACTCAACAACAAAAACAAGAAACTTTCAAAGATGTCAGTCCTCTCATTGCGTTTCATAGTTATGTATTATTATTAAGGGCTCGGTGCAGCTCAGGGAGCTGTGGAATGCCTTTCATTTGTGCAGAGGCTGGGGCGGGGTATGCAATTTGGCCAGTAGCTAGTGTATGTGTAGGCTGATGAAATACCTTATGTAATAATTATGTGTGTGTATGGCCAACTTTTCGTAACTGACTACTTCCATCAATGACAAACTGAATTCTTGGCAGCGATAGTTAGCTTTTGTGCCTCTAGCCACTGCCTTATGCATTTACTGCGTTCCCATAGTTCTAGATTGCGCCAGGACTAACTGTTCACAAGTTTTTTTTATATGGGACAGTAAGGGATGTTTTTATTTTTATTTTCAATGGCAGAGAACGGAGCAGGTGATATGGGGGTGACCCGATAGCAGTGAAACTGAAACCTTGGCTATGACTATAGCTAGTTATATTTGATGTTATTCATTCTTCATTATCACCCTGACACCAGCCACTCCTATTCTGGATACCATCTTAAACAAGAGTTGAAGAGGTCTAAGCATGAAAGGAAAGAGGGATAGGAGTGAAAAATATAAATAATTACTTCAAATCTGGGTTCTAAGGCTCCATTTTGGGGCGGGGGGAGGCAGGGAAAGAATAGGTCCACTAACAAACAGGTCGCAAATGGTGATTAATTAAGTGTCTGCTGACATCCGATGGGGTGAGCCAAAAGGTACAGATATCGCAGCCAAACTGTAAACCGCAACCAATATGCCAACCACCCTTTTAGTGACAAATGTAGAATAAACAGATTCCTCTCACTGAGTTTTAAAGCTAAAGTTTGTTTGCATTCATTTCTATCTGCTCCGAACACGAAATAAAACCAGACAATTCAGCTACAGCAACAACAAAGACCCAAAGATGTCATCCCTCTCACTGCATTTCATAGTTACATATTACGTTCATTCATTCTGATTAGCCTGACAGCAGCCACTCCTATAAAATCTTGAATGTGTAACAGTTGTTTACTGCAACCTACACACTGTGACCAGGCTGTCAGGGTTTAGAATTAGGAGAAAACTTACAGTCATGATGCTACTGGGCTGGCTTCGTAATATCAAAGAGTCAGGGAGGTTGAAACATGAATGGAAAGAGGGACTCCGGTGAGAAGAGAGGAAACTCTAAATAATTATTTCTCATGTGGGTTCAAGGGAGCCGCCGTGGTGTAGCAGCTAGATGCATGCCTGAGGACTTGAAGGTCATGGGTTCAAATCCGAATGGAGCCAGACTATTTTTTTTTTTAAATGATCATGGCTCCCAAGTTGACAAAGCCTCAAATGGCTACCAGAGAAAGTCCTGGGAAGTATAGATGACCGGTGTGATGTCCATCACATCATCCATAGAGTGCCGACTGGTCTATCAAATATAAACCCAATAGGCCAGAAGGCACTGAAAAGGGTCTTTACATGTGGGTTCTAAAGCTTCTTTGGGGGGGGGGGAGGGATAAGCCCACAGCCCCCTAACTAGCAGGTCATATAATATGCATCTCTTAAAGAGTAGTTTGTTGACATCTGATGTGTTGGACCAAATGGTGCAGATATCACAGCCTAGCTGTAAACCACAACCCAGCATGTTAAACACCATTTTAATGGTGAATATTGAATGAGAAAAC